GGGGCTTCGCGGCGCAATGGCGAGGGAACGCCAGCAGCCCAAGGAACCACCGAGCCCCTTCCGAACCCGAACTGGGCATTAATTATTTCAGGAGACTCACTGTATAGCTGCCTTCAGATGGTTCAGTCGTGATTCCAAGACAGAGCGACTTGGCGACGGAGCAGATGAGGACCTTTGAATCTCAGAGTGCCGTGGCTGACTTGGCAGGACCTGACATTGACTCCGTCTGCACTTGAAATGCGGGTTGAATTGGTTCGAGAGCTGGTGGGTCCTGGATCTGCGGTCTCCTACGAGAAATTAACTCCATGGGTTCCAAACATCTGCGTCGGGGAGACTTCCGATCCTTGTGATGCAATCCTTACCGTCGCCTGAACTGCATATTGCGCCGCTGCCTCATCCTCCTGTCGCTCTCTGCGCTACAATGTCGTCGCCTTGCGCGCGCTCGCCCGCGAAGGTGGCCAGACGCGGCCATCAGAAGCTTGTTTTCCCGTCGGTCTGGGTCAGGGACTGCGGCTAGCAGCCCGGAGGGGTTTAAGCGACAACAAAGCTTCTGGAGCGGCGGGATCTCCAGGGACCCCTCTGGAAAAAATGACGACCCCCGATGACCTCAAGACGGCTGACAAGGCCCCCAAGACGACCAAACTTGTCCCCCGAGGACAGCAGGGAAAGCCTTAAGAGGCACACATCGCCACATCCCCTTGGGAATACGTGCATTTTTAGCACACTCGCCTTCTTCGCCGTGACAGCTTCTAAGACTGCCAACGGGGCCCCCAAGATCGTCACAAAACGGTCGGTGAGGCTCCCAAGTAAGCCTCAAGACGGCCCAAGAAGGCCCCAAAACGACACCAGGGGCCCCCAAGGTGGCCCAAGAGAGTTGCAAGTGCGCCCCAAGAGAGAGAACGCAAACTGATATCTCAAGCCTTTCCCCCAAAGTGGCCCCCAATAGCCCCCCAGAGGCCCCCGAGGCGCCTCAAAAAGGCCTCCAAGACGCCCCGAAGAAGCTCCCAAGACGCGCCCCAAAGCCTCCCAGACGCACCCCAGAGCCCTCCAAGAGGCCCCTGGGAGGCATCACGAAAGAACGTCTTATTTACCCAAGAGGCTCCTTACCTACAGCCTAGGCACGGTTGCGGGTTGGGCCGAACGCCACTAGATCCGCCGCCCCCTGTGGTCTTGCCACAGGGGTGCCGGGCGCGCTGGATGTTTGGAGTTTTTTCCTGCCAAGGCCGATGCCGAGGATGCTGGGCCCCCTGGGGCTTTGGCCGATGCCGAGGCTGCGTTCGAGGGTGCTGCAAAGGTTTTTCCTGGTATAGATGGCTCCAAGATGGCCCAAGTTTGCCTCCACGACGGCCCAAGAGAGTCCAAGATGTCCCCAAGTTCGCCCAAGAAGCCTCCAAGAGGCCTCCAAGACGGCTCCATAAGCCTCCAAAAGGTGCTCCAGGAAGGCCCGAAGAAACACATCTCATTGATTTTCTTTCGGTTCTTGATGGGTTTGGGTATTTACATTGTTTCGGCTCTCCGGCGGTCCAAGACTTCCCAAGAGGCCCCCAAGATTCCCCCAAGATGGCCCCCAAAGCCTCTCAAATGTCTTCATGGTGGCCCAAGAAGCTTCGAACACGTCCCCAAAAGAGTCCCAAGACGGGGGCTCTTGGGCCCGTCGTAGGCCGTCTTGGGGCTCATCTGAGCCGTCATGGGGTCTCTTGGGAGGCTCTTGGGCAATATTGGGGCACTGTTGCGGGCCTCTTGGGCGCAGAAGCGAACATGCTAAGCAAGTCCGTGTTCCTAAAGCGTTCGCCAGGCCTCCAGGACCGTTTGGGACCCTCGTGGGCGCCCTCTTGGGGCCCTCTGGGGCCGTCTTGGAAGCCTCCTGGGCCGTCTTGGGGCCCTCTTGGGACATAGGCGCTTCCAAAAAGGCAGGGGTCGGCGGAGATTCGCCGCAAGCGTCTTCGATCCGCCGCTCCCTGTGGTCTTGCCACAAGGGTGCCTGTCGTGCTGGATGCTTGGAGATTTTGGTTATTTCAAAACTCCCCCTGGGGCTTCGGCCGATGCCGCCGGCCACCCGGAAGGCTGCGTTCGAGGTGTCTGCAACGGTTTTTCCTGGTCTAGGTAGCTCCAAACTGGCCCAAGTTTGTCTCCAAGACGGCCAAGATGGCTTTCCTGTTCGCTCAAGATGGTCCAGCAGGGCCTCCAGGACGGCCCAAACGAGTCCAAGATGTCTCCAAGCTCGCCCAAGAAGCCTCCAAGACGGCCCCCAAGAGGCCCCCAAGACGGCTCCAGGTGCCTCCAAAAGACGCTCCAGGAGGGCCCGAAGAAACACAGATCATTGACTTTCATCCGGTTTCGATGGATTTGGGTATTTACAGTATTTGCATTGTTTCGGCTTTCAGACGGTCCAAGACGGCCCAAGATGCCCATAGATCGCACCAAGATTGCCCCAAAGACCTCCAAGATGACCCACCCTATGACGGCCCAAGAAATCTCCCAGACTGCCCCAAGAGGGCCTCAAGACGGCTCGAGAGGCCTCCAAGACGCCCAAGACGCCCAGGCTGGCCTCCAAGACGGCCAGAAAGCGCACCAAAAGAGCCCCGAGTCGGTTCAGAGATGCATCCCATATGGCTTCCGACGGCGTCAGACGGGCCAGGAACGCCCTAAGACGGCCAAAGCGGCCGCGAACAAGCCCCCAAAGGGGGCCAAGAGGCCCAAGGAGGCCCCAAGAAGCTCCAAGAGGCCCCAAGGAAGCTCCCAGGAAACCCCAAGAGTGCCCCAAGAGGCTTCCAAGAGGCGTCCTCCTCCTCCTTCTTCTCCTCCTCATCCTCGTTCTCCTGTTCCTCACGTGTTCCCCGACAGGTTTGAACGACAGCTGGGGGAACACATGGTCCGATAGCTCTAGCCCAACTTTCGGTCACATAGGCGCTTCCAGAAAGGCAGGGGGCGGCGGTGATTCGCCGTAGGCGTCGTCCATCACTTCCACGATCGTCGCAAGCTCTGACTCCTTCTGGGGGTCGGCGGAATGGCGTAGACCACTGGAGCCGAACCGATCCTCTTGCATATTTCATGTCGCTCGGAGTGTCAGCCGAGACTGCCCGTCAAATCACAGTGTATCTAGGCATGTACGGTCAGCCTTCCAGCAGTAGCAGGTGGATCCCAAAACAACTGAATTCATAGCTAGACTGCACCGCATGGCATGGTTTCAATATGCCGACCTCCCTGAAGTTGTGCAAACCTTCACGGGAGGCCGCCAAGGGTGTATTCGGCACAGTCATGTTCAACGGAGCGTACAGTATTGCGCTCTTCATGCTGTATTCAGAACTTGCTAAGATCGGCCTTGGCCGGAGGCTGTCTCGGAGTGAGGGCCCCTTTTGGAATGCCAGCCCGCACGATGGAGCACGTGCCTCGCACGTTGAGCATGTCATGGACGCAGTTTTTGTAGATGATGAGTGTTTAGTCTTGCTCGCCTCGACTCCTGCTCGCCTCAACTCTGCCATCCATGCCTTGATGAACATAGTAATTCAGACAGTTGTAGCTTTTGCTCTAGAGATTACCTGGAAGCCTTGGAAAGTCCGAGTGCATGGTTGTGTACAGGGGTAAGCAGAGTAGCAAGCACCATGCCAGATTGAAGTGCGGAGATCAGCGCTGCTTTGAGTTCCCAGAGCCAGATATCTCATTGCATGTAGTTGACGAGTACAAGCATCTCGGCTGTGTCTCGACTCCCGATGGGCGTTTGAAGCGAGATGCTGACCACAAGATCTTGCAGACCATGAGCGCCTACGTTCCTATTGCGTGTAAAATGTTTGGTGCCACTGAGTTGAGGCAACGTGTACGTCTCGCGCTCGCCGACTTGCTCTTGATCCATGGTAGGTTGCTGTTCAATAGCCACATCACGTGTAGCACTCCCGAGTTCATTCGTGCGTTGAATGGCCCATACATGCGCATCCTTCGACGCATAGCTGGTGATCCCGATTTTGGTGAAGCGGTGTTCTCTGACCCCCAAATCCGCGAAAGACTAGGCCGCCCATCTTTAGACTGCTTGCTGCTGCGCAAGCGCCTGCTGTATTTCGGTCGCCTCGTGCACTTTGCCCCAGGCCCGCTCCAGGCCGTGTTACAATATCGGTGTAAGGAGCAGGCCCTCGATTGGGTCCGTCAGTTGCAAAATTACCTGCAGTATGTGTGGAGGAATGCCGATGTTTGGCACGACTTTATCATGCATGATTTGAATGCGTGGAGGGAGATAGTGTTGCGGATATCTTTTCACACTTCCGTCTGTGACTCGTCGTCGCCGTCGTTGATGTCGTCGTCCGAGCATGGTAAGGCGGTCGCAGCATTCCCTTTTGTTTGCAATATTTGCTCTGAACGTCGTGCTATCCTCACGAGTAAGGCGCTCAAGATGCATCAGATAATGAAGCACCAGCTCAGATGTCCAGCACTCTTGTACGTCGACGGGCGTGGCGTGTGCCCCGTGTGCAAGACAGATTTCAAGCAAAGGCTTCGCTGCATTGCACATCTATCTGACAGTAGGCGCCAGCGTTGTTGGAACCAGATGGTGCAGGCGCCTCCGCCTCCCCCCCCCGCCAGAGAGAGTGGCTGCCCTCGACCTCGCGGACCGCGAGGCGCGTCGCGCCGCTCGGCGAGGAGGCCACACCCACCCGCTCGCCGTCTCGAGCGCCTGCACGCACGAGGGTAAGTGTATAGGTTTCGCACGCATGTGATGTGCACCTGAGTGGAACTGCTTGAGACACCCCTGGGGTAGCCTTGCCGAATAACAAAAAAAACACTGGAATCGGACTCCCCTCTCGCAAAGCTGGTGCACTTCCGCTTCCCCCACCCTCCTTTTCCCACTTCTCCCACTTCTACCGCTCCTCCTCCTCCTCCTCCTCCTCCTCCTCGCCCTCACCCCCCTCCTCCTCCCTCCTCCTCCTCCTCCTCCTCCTCCTCCTCCTCCTCCTCCTCCTGCCTCGTCTCCTCCTCCTCCTCTCTCCGCCTCCTCCTCCGCACCTCCTCCGCACCTTGCAATAACCCTTGCCCTTCTCCGTCATCACGAGGCCAATGTCTGTCACGACCCGGTCTGCCCCATGGGCGTGCCCTACCAAACGCGGCCCGCGCCTTGGCGGAGCCTCCCGATCCCAAGCCGATCCACCAGCTCGATCGAGCCGGACCTGCTGCGCCCT